TTTTCTATCTAATAATAATTAAAATATTTCAATATATTCTGTAATATTAAGTAATAATTAATTAACTAATAACTATTTATGAATTCTGATCACTCTTTCTTAAACTTACACCTGACAACAGTCATATTTATATTTCCTCTTTTGTTTATACTTCATCCTACTCATCTTCATACTTCATCCTTCATCTTGGTACAGTTATCCTTCATCCTTGTACGGTTATCTTCGTACTTCATTCATCATCCTCGTACAGTCATCTCACGTGGGATAACAATTACCTGAATGTTCATCTAGTGACACAATTTATCATCTCCCGTGACATTTCACCTGATTACCAATTTGGATCACCACAATATATTAATAGAACTTATAACAATACAGATCGAAAAAAATTGAAACTTTGCATATGATGATTAAAGGAAGGTCCGTGATGAAAAACCATCCTCAGTGATCACAGCGATATATTAATATATAGAAACTATCAAAGAAAGTAGTAACTGAGCCTTCAGATTAAAAATAAAGAATTAAAAATAATTATATTATATTTATTATCTGTTTTGAGATAAGCAAGTTTAGATTGATAGATTGCTTAACCTATTGGTAGATAAAAGTGTATTAAAAAATTGTTTGTCTTTGACAATCTTTGAAACTAGTAGGCAAAAATGTTCAAAATATTCTGCATATTTGTGACATTATGACAATTTAGATTAAAAAGAGATGAGGAATGAAAAAATAATATCCCAAAGGAATTTAGTTGAAGTTTTGTATATAATATATTTCTGAGCATTGGACAAAAGAAAATAAATATCCAATCAATATTTAATAGACATTTAATGGGCAATTGATCTATACGTGTTGCCCAAATCCCAAATCATTTGGGATTTGGGACGCCAAAATCCCAAATCATTTGGGATTTGGGACGCCAAAATCCCAAATTACTAGTATTTGGAATTTGGGATTTGGGATTTCGGCAAAAAATACTAATCATAATTTGGGATTTGGGATTTGGGATTTCGGCATTTGGGATTTCGGCATTTGGATTTTGAATTTGGGTGGCAGGTATAAATTGATCATAATTCTTCATGTGCTGATAGTTATGGTGCACATTTAAAATGTATTCAAACTCTTGTGTACTGCCTTTCATTTTCTTGTGAAAAGTTTTTTGTATTTTTTTTATGCATTTATTAATATTTTCCTCATGTATTTTATTTATTATTATTTATTATCAAAGAATGAGAATAAATAATTGTTACCAATAATACAATAAAATACAATAATATATATTGATACTGATTACTAAGCTTACAAAGATCTAAAGCTTATACAATTTATAGAAGTCTCACTATTTGGATTTATTTTAGTCAACAATTAAAACTCTATTGTTCATTTTTTCAAAAAAAGGACTATAATTGTAGCAGTAGTACATTTTAATCTTGATCACATTTGAAGTAGGAATAATTAATAGTAAAAATATTAATTAGCAGCTAATTTTTTTTTTAAGAACTTCTTTAAATTATTGTAATCAATTAGCAAAATCAACGTTAAAATTTATATTATAAAGTTATTCAACAGCCAAATCATGTTATGAGACTAAAAGATTGTGTTCGAACTTCTCAGTTACGACTTTTTAAATAATTATAAAAGTTTAATAAGGATAGCGTAAATTTTATAAAAAAATATTATATGATGCAAATTTGTATTCAAATAAAATACAAAGTATAAAATTCTGAACATTCAAATATTTTTCTTTTACTAATATTAAAAAATTTCATAATCATCTTTTAGAATTTCACTGAATTAGTTTAGTTTTTTTATAGCCTTTAATATAATATTAAATGATCGATTCCTAATCATAAAAAAAAATCGGGCAAAATTTGAAACACAATTAAGATTATTATCAATTGCTTTGCTTGAAACTTTTATATAGCTTCTAATAGAATTTTTAATATTAATGAAAAATAAAATTTTCATTAGTTTCGAATATTTATATATATTAAATTAAAATTCCAATCAATAGGATTGTTACCACTAACAATCTCATCTGTATCTTTAACCTTTGTAACAACAAAAGCATTTGTTTTCTGATTACATAAATTCTAAAACATATCTTTTTCAAAACAATCTCTACTTCCACGAAGAATAGGCTTCAATTCATATGAAAAATTATTAGTTTCATATGCTACTTCTTCCTTATGCAATCTCATTTCTAATTCTTTTGTAATAATTGATTATGTAATTTGAAAGTATTTTGAGGTGGAAAAATTGTTGTGTAAATAAGTGTTATTTTAGGGAAATATAATGTTTTAAAATATCTATCATCAATTTTTTTTTCAAGAATTTGTTAGTAAGGATATATTTTTTTCCACAATATGCTTCATTGTAAACTTGAAATATCAAATGTAATGTAATCAATATTGCAAGGTGAAATTTGAAATCCTTTTCTCAAAGTTCAAAATAAAATTTTATTTGAACAGTTTTCATTGAATTACCTCAAGTTGTAAGTCTTCCCAGAATAATAGATATAGGCTAAATCTTTTATATATCTCACTGCTCTTCTCTCCTTTCCTTTCTTTTTTTTGGCAGACTTCTTTTTTTCTTTAAAATCTTCATCTTCAGCTACTCTTCTTTTTCCTAACGAAGAACCTCCCTCATTTCTTTTAGCAATTTCACTTAATGCATTAATATTTCCTTTGTTCCTCTCCTTTTCGAAGAATTATTGTTAATTGAGTATTTGTAATATCCATATTCATATTAATTCCATTAGAATTAGAAAGGTCTGCGATATTGGTTTCAGTAAAATTATTTATGTTAATTAATAATGGAGAATAAAATTTTTAGAAAGTTTAAAGTTTTTATTGAATAAGCTTTTTATTGGATTGGATACAAATTTTTTTTTTAAATTTGAAGTTTTTATTAATTTTTTTAGGAAATCAAAAATAGTTTTTATTTTAAAGTATATTTTATTTAATTTATATATGTAAACAAAAAAATATTAATTTATAAAATATAGATTGACTTTTTATTGCCTATTTTATTTTATTATGTAATTGGAAGTATTTGTTTATAAAAAAATTAATAAATCTAATCTATATTTGTAAAATAATAATATTTTTCAACAAAAAGATTTATTAAATATTTCTGTTTTAGATAGCTTATTTTCTTTCATAAAGTTTTTATAAGTTTTTATTAGCAAAAATTTTTGAATTGTATTTTATTTAGATGTTTATGCATGTCAAAGTTTGATAAAAAAAAAAAAATATTGATCATAAGTTTATCAGATTTAAACTAATTTAAGTATTTTTCTTGATTGTAATGACAATTATAATTGTTATCATTTATAATATGTGATTATTAATAACAATAGATTGCCTTTTTATTGCAATGTAATAATAAGAATAATTAGAAAAAAATAATAATAATAAGTGTTTGATTATAAAAAATGATAATAATAAATCTAAACTATATTTGTAAATAATTACATTTTTTGACATAAAGATTTATTAAATATTCTATTTCGAGTTGTTAAAAATATGTTGAGTTTCTTTTTATTTACAAAATTTATCAAGTAAATAATTTTTTTTCATTATCTGATTTAATGTTTTTAAATCTTGATTTCTTATTTAAAATAATTTATATTATATGTTGGAGATTAGGAAAAAACTATTTAAAAGTAACAAAATGATCCATTTCCATTTTTCAGACTTTTTTCAAAAAAAATTTTAAAACCGTTTATTCAAGATGCAAAATAATAAATTTCAACAACAACAATGAATTAAACAACTAGAAAGATTAAAAATATGGGTCAATGAATTATTAAAAAATTTAGATAATATTATAGAAGATCTTGGTCAAGATAATAATAATAATTATTATTATCAAAATAATAGAAATAAAAATACTGTTAAAAATAACAAAATTAATAATATTAATTATTACAAGAATAACAATTATGAAAAGAATAATGATTTGGTCAAGAAACGAGACAACACAAACGAATTGGACATGAAAAAACAAAAAATTAAAAAAAGTGTAAAGAAATCTAGATCTGTTAAAATCTTAAATGGAAGGTACTTAATTAATAAAAAAGAAACCATTGGTAAAGGGAGTTTTAGAAAAGTCATGAAAAGTATTTATAATATGTATATATTCTTTATATTTTATTTCATTTTTGTTAAATATAATTTATATTTATGTATATATATTACTCTTTTTTTGTAGGAATTGATCTTGAAACCAATATGGGAGTAGCAGTCAAATGTTTGAGAAAAAATTTATTTGTTCATTTGGTAAATTTCAAATTTCCACTAAAAAACAAAAAAAAAGAAAATGCTGAAATAGTGTACGAAGATAGAATAATGATCCAAATAGAAGGAATAGTAAGTATTATTAATATTATTGTTTATCTCACGTGTACAATGATAATAAATAAACTATCTTTATTTATTCTATTATTATTTTAGAAAAATTTAGTTTTACTTTTAAATATTGTGAAAATTTCAAGAAAAGTATTTTATGTAATGCCATTAGCCAACAATAATTTAAGTGACTTAATTTATAATAGAAGAATGCCTGAGCAATGTATAAAAAAAATAATGAGACTGATATTTGAAACCACCAAAGATTTACATGATTCAGGATTTGTACATCGTAACCACTAGTTGAAAATTGATAAAACATATACATATCGGGTACCCGATATGTGCATGGTGTTTCCCTAATATCGGATATATATTGGATACCCGATAAGTGTAGAAAATATTTTTTTACACTTATCGGGTACCCGATATATATATAAAATATTTTCTACATATATCGGGTACCCGATATATGCCCAATATTAGGGAAACACCATACACATATCAGGTACCCGATATGTGTATGTTTTATCAATTTTCGACTAGTGAACATTAAAATATATATAATAATATGTACCAATAAGCATAAAAATACATATAATATGTGTGTTATTAATTAATATATCATAATAATATATAGCTAGAGAATATAATAATATATCAAGGAGGCTGTGCTAAACTTGGAAATTTTGGTCTATCTGAGAAATTCAATTATCATTTAGGTTTGCAAGTAGTTAGAACCCTTGAATTTGCTGATAAGTAAATAATTATATAATGATATATAATAATAATTATAAAGTAATATTAATAATCTAATTTTAATTTTAGCTCCTAAAGTTTTGGGTCAGTTCCTTAAAATGAATAAATCGGCATGGATAAATTATAAGAATACTGACATATGGTTATTAGGTACAACATTATATGCTTAGTAAATTATTATTATTATTATTTTTAATTAAATTATCTTTATTATTCTATACTTTTATATTAACTTATCTATATTTTTATAATATTTAGTTTGACGGGACAATCCTTATTGAATAATAGAAATTATCCAAAAGATCGATTGCAGCTTTATTCATCAGATGCAATTGATCTTATTAACAAATTGATGAAAACAGATTCATTAAAATGTATTTAATTGGATGAGACTTTAAATTATCCATTTTTCAATAATAATTAAAAAAAATAATATTATTAATATATCTTAAATAAATAAATTCATATTTATCAACAGAGAAACCACCTGTGTATTTATTCTTATCATTTTTTTCTTCTAAGGGTCAAATTTTGAATTGTTATCATTTTTATTGAGAAGCTATCTTTTGTTAATGCCCAAGTATTTTTATCCCAAATATTTAATCTGTTCTGTTCCTTTGGCTTTCATAATCAACTATCAGAATGATTATGACATGTATCCCAAAAACTTTTGAGACAAAATCAATATAGAAAATTAATTAAAGAATAAGCACTTGAAACTCTATTTATACTTTTATAAAAAATCAATATATAGAATTAGTTAAGAATAAGTACAGTACTTGACTTACATTGAGCCAAGAAATCTTAGAAATCTATGTAAATTCGATCACATCTTAAAAGTTTATCATATTTCTTGTACATCCAAGATGCAAAGTTTTCATTGGTTATAACATTAACTCTTTACGAAGGTAAGGTGACTACCACTTCAATGAATTGGAATGATATAAAAGATTTCTCATTCTGAACTATAATGATTATAGTGTAATCATCTCCTTTATTATTGATAAGTTCAAAAAAGTTTGGTAAGACTTTTTTTTTTTGCAAAATGTAAAAAAAACCATTCAAGTGTTATATGTTTAGAATTTTCGTTGAAATTATATAAAATGGCTTAGAACATTATTCGATCCTTCAATACTCTTGCCATTTTACAAAAAAAAATATCTTGAATTTTTTAACAATTTATTCCTTTCTTCTTAATGATATAGACAATTATAATGCAATCATTATAGTTAATAATAAAAAAATCCTTTATAAGCCTACTCTGATATATTGAAGTACCATTCACCTTACTTTTGTAAAGAATTGAGATAACAAATATACTAAAGATTCTAATTTATCATTATCTAATTAATTCGAAATTGATGAATTGATCAAAAAAAATCTTATTGAAAATCTCATTCCCTCTCAATTTTTTAGTGTAAATTATCTTCAAATACTTAGGAAAATTTTGTAATGATATTGTTGTAAATCTTTCATATCCCATTTTAAGTGTTGAAGATTTCACTTCTCTTCAAGAATCTGGATTGATATCATCTCCTCAATCAAGACGATTTACAACTTAAAGGAGGTTTTAATTTGGAAATACATAAGATAAAACTATTTTTCATCAAGAATACAATAGCCACTAGAAATCATTTCGATGAATGTTTAGTTTAATTAATACAATTTAAATCATTTTGTTAATATGGAAAGTATAGATTTTATTAATAAACTATAAAAAAAAAATATATTCAAAATAAAATAAAATAAATCAATGATCACATATATATACAAATAAACTAACTTTTTATTCCAAATTAAAGTAAAATTAATATTTCGTCCAGTTTTATTTTCTTATTTAATATTTTTATTTTCAAATTTTTTTTTTTAAAAAAAAAGAAAAAAAAAAGATAATAAATAAAGAGATTTAATACACATTTCGAGTTATCGTTACAAGAGAAAAGTAATAACTAATAATCACATCCATTAATGATTAGTAATTTATTGAATTTTTTTAACAATAATAATATAAGTAATAATAGTTATTTATTAAAAAATCAGAACTTGCGGAGTTACATAATAATGATACCTTCACATATTTTGGTAATTTTATAGATTATTAATTATTATTAAATACGTCATGTATATTAATCAGATGTGATCAACTGATAATCTTTATTTAAATTAATTAAAATACAATATTCAATAAGATAATTTAAGATAAGATTTGAAAATGCAAAATAAAAAGAGGTTATAATCATCAGAGTTAGTTATGTAATAAAAAGATGACAAATATTTATTGTTTATTCTTTGCGTACGTATTTTTTTAATAATTACAAAATTTTTAATAATGTTAATAATACATACGATTGTTCCTTTTTAAGTAATTGAATAGGAGATGTTTAAAGTTTCATGTGCAAAACAAGTAAGTTGAGAAATATCTAACCAAACTCTTATTTTTTTCATAATAAATAATTCGAAAAATTTATCTATAAAAAGTTGGAAGGTTTTTTTTTTGTAAATTATTAAAATTTTAAACATTTTATAATGCCTCAAAATTCACTTTACTTATTAACACTTATCACAATCTTACAATACTTATTATCCTTTTAACTAATATCAGTACTTTTTGTAAAAAATGTAATTTCAATTTTGGCATTAGTTATATGTATTGGAATCCTAAAAATAATCTTATAAGATAATTGTTCTACAATTAATCGTAAAGATATTATATCAAATAATTTCAATAAAATCTAAACTGATATTTATCTTACAAGTATTCAGAAGGACTCTTTAGATGTCAAGGCATCTTCTGAAAATATATGTGACTCTCAAGATATCCTGAATTCCAAAAATGAAACATCCAAAGATATCTTAGCTTCATATTTGAGACCTGAAAATAAATATAAATCTAAAGATATCTTGGAAAATTATTTGGTTCCTGAAAATAAAATTTCTGAAGATGCCTTGACATCAGTAATTATATTAATTCGAAAACCTTCGAAATTATATCGCAACGTTAGATTTCAAAGGTTATCAATTGTGTCGCAACCCTTCAAAATCGAAATTTAACGGTTAAATTTCGATACGTATTATTTCGTTATCAAAAACCTTCAAAGTTCAATGCTAAATTTT